AACCCCGACGGAAGAGCCCGGTAGCGTAGTCCGGAAGGACTTAGCTCGAGCGGCTGAAGTACCCTAAGGGGGCACGAGGCCGAACTCGCGTACCAACCCCGACGGAGGAGCCCGAGTGCCTAGGCTTGAACGAGCCAGGATGGAGCGGCTATCGCACCCTAAGGGGGCATGAGGCCGGACCTCGCGTACCAACCCCGACGGAGGAGCCCGAGTGCTTAGGCTCCCAAAAAAAAAAAAAAAAAAAAATCAGGGGCGGTTTGGAGAGGTCGAGGTCGGCCCGACCTCGGCGTGGCAGGTCGGCCAACCCCGGGGTCGGCACGGCCTCGGCGGGCGAGGTCGGTGCGACCTCGGCACCGGAGGTCGGCGCTGGAGGATGGTGCGACCCGGCAGAGGGGACGACCGTCGCCGAGGCCGACCCCGGCGTGGCTTGAGCCCGAGAGGTCGGCCGGAGGGCCACGAATGAAGGCGCGACCTGCAGGCCACCCCCGCGCCGTGACGGAGTGACATGGCAGAGACGCGGCGGTGCGTATGTGTCCTAGCAGATGAAGGAGTCATGTTCCGGATGGAGTTCTCATCGTTATCACAAGAAGTGCACTTTCAAGGCTGGGACGCGGACATCTCGGGGTCGGCCGGAGCATCTACTCTCCTTCACTGACAATTACTCGCAGCTCGGAGAGTGGGGGACTGATGACGGATATATTGGGAATCGACCCGAGGGCGCGAAGCAAGAACGGGTCCCGGGGCGGCGCCACGTACCCGCCCTGGCCAAGGCCTCGCCACGTGGCCCCCGCACGGGCCACGTTGGAGGCCGGGCCTGCCTCTCCAGGAGGCCGGGCCGTCCTCTCCAGGAGGCCTGGCCTGCCTCTCCAGGAGGCCGGGCCTGCCTCTCCGGGAAGCCAGGCCTACCTCTCCAGGAGGCCGGGCCGACCTCCACATGGGCCTGGCCTGGGCCCATGATGAGCTCGGCCTGGCCCCCGCAACGCGGCCCGGTCGCGAGACCGGGCGCGGTCAACTCCAGATCCAACTAACCCCCCGTTTTAGGGGGAGGCGGTTGGGGGCTTCGCTTGTATAAAAGCCCCCCTCCTTGTCCTGACAAGGGACACGCTATCTACGCTCTACATTTCCTACATACTTTGTCCTAAGATACTACTGTAATAGCCAATTCTGCGGCATTTAATACAATCTACGGTCTCACGGCCTTTACTATATCATTCGTATCATTTATTTACTATTCGTATTCTTATTCGGGTTAGTTAAGTCGGACCCCCGATTTAATTAATTCCATCACACCCCACTATCTAGATTTTCCTTTGTATCCCTCCATCACATTTGCATTCTTTTTGAATCCAGCATTAGAACTTTCGCTCCATTGTAAATTTACAAATTCTTTTTCCATTTAAGTTGTTGATGCTCATAATAATTTCAAATTTTATAATTCCTATTAGATCAATCATTTCTATTGTCCTTTTCATATTTTAATGTCTTTCAATTTAATAGAATCTTAAACCACTTTCGAAATCTGAAATGATGATACATTTAATTTTTTTTTCCTTATTTGGTTCAATCTATTTCCCTTGATTTATTTACTTTAATTTAACAACAAAAAAAAAGCGACTGACCAACTATCTCCATGTGATCACGAGATCAAATAACAGAATACTAAAATTTAAATACAATGCACCTAATCACTGTTGAAAATTTTTATCTCAAAAAATTACTAGAAAACTTAGGATTTGTAGGTGGTATAAATTGTATAATATTGAATTGGGTGCTTATGGAGTTATACAACAACGGCGAAAAGTAATACAATACAATCTTTTAGTTTTACTCCATTTATACCCTCCAAGTGTAATACAAACTTGTAATTGAACATTAAAATCGATCAGAAGCTAGTTTAATTAAAATGTAATTAATTAAAACGAGAAGCTTCTCTGTCAAGAACTGAAAGAAGGGATTTGATTACAACTTTGCGGTATTACACATGAATAAGCAAATGTTATCATATGGTGGCATAGAGAGAAACTGCATGCCTTATTAATTTGTTGGGTGGATTTGAATGGCAGGTTGATGGTAGCAGACTGGCAGTTTAGTGAACTTTATTTTGTCAAAATCAGCTCTACTGTCAACCATTCATTTTAATATCCCATCTACTTTGGAGAAAAGTATTTGTTCCATGAGAAATATTTGATTGATGACAATAGAACTCACTTAGGTGTGTTTGGTTCATGGGTTTAACTATATATCTCGAATGTGAATCAAAGTCATTGTTATTGTTTTGTTGATACGTTTCTAGAACATGAGATTTCATTACCTCCTTAATTAGAAAACTCATTCCCTAATAAAATAAAGATTTCATTCCCTAACAAGTACACCATTCAAACATCAGCATAAAAATTTTCTTGTGCACTATAAATGACAACCCTAAAAAAATTATATTTATCATTCTCCCATAAGCAAATTCGAAAATTCATTCCGACATTATTACCGTGATGATAAATCTGTTCTTAAAGCTTTGAATCTTGTCTTCAAAACTTTCAAGACAAGATCAATGCTCACATTAATCTAAGACTTATAGATGATTGTAAAAAAATTATGTAATACAAAAAAATAAAGAGGAAAGTGAATGAATAAAAACTGGATCATTTAATATATTTCATGTGTGTAATCATTTTTTTTATACGTCTGTAATCTAGATGAAGACTTATGAGATACGAGATGTCATTTACAAAATTCTCAGGTTGTTGCCAAGGACCTTGTGGTCCAATGACATCAAGTTATTATTTCCTTAAGTGGGAGGTTGTGGGATCAATTTAAAGAAATTCTCACGTTGTTTTGTTTAGAATTTTAAAAAGAAAAGTGACAGGGTCAATTTTATAAATTTTTTATTTATTACAAAACCTATGCAAATAAATTACACCTCAAAAAACATTAAAAAAAATTCACTACATATATTCATTGAACTAAAATCATAACACACAACATATATTCATTCGATTGTAATAAAACTATTATCAATAAATAAGTCTGCTGCAAAATTTAAAAAAGTGCAATTGAAAAAATCATAAGTCTACTTCACGGCAAACCTTAAGTCTAGTACATAAGTCTATTTCATAAAATTCATAAGACTTGTGGTTCTATTACCAAGAAAAAATGAAAATTTTGAGTGGTTAATAACACCATTTGTAATATATCACTTAAACATATTTATTGACGGAGGACAAAAAACTAGTCACTACAAGAAAAATGCACATAGACAACGGTTAATAATGATGCGCAAAGACAACGGTTTTTTAAAACCATTGTTTTTGTAGTGTTGTGTATTCAAATATGCTTAAAGACAGCATACCCAAGACAACGTTTAAATAAAACCGTTGTCTTAAACAAATAAAGAACGCGCAATGACAACGGTTATATAAAACCGTTTTCGTTTTAGTGTTGTGTATTCGAGTGCGCTTAACGACAACACACCAACGACAACGGTTAAATAAAACCGTTGTCTTTTGTTAAAAAAAAGAGCGCACAAAGACAACGGTTTTAAACAACCGTTGTCTTTCTAGTGTTGTGTATTTCAGTGCGATTAAAGACAACACACCAACGACAACAGTTAAAAAAACCGTAGTCTTATTTTAAAAAAAAAACGCACATAGACAACGGTTTTAACAAAATGCACAAAGACAACACTTATAACAACGGTTAAGTAAAAATCGTTGTCTTTGACAAAAGTGTTGCATCAAAGACAACGATTTTGGACCACACTATTGTCTTTTATACAAAAGTCAACACTTTTCTTAAAAACTGTTGTCTTTCTAGTGTTGTCTATGTGCATTTTTCTTGTAGTGAGTTATGCCAAAATAATGTTAGGACCAACATGGATGTTTAATTTTGAAAAAAAAATAGGACTAAAAGTGGAATGACTCATATAAATCTAGGTCCAAAAATGAAAAGTACTTAACACTTAGAGCTAGATACACAAAAATGTCATTGTATTTAATGTCATTTAAATGATTTTGTTAATAGAGAACAAAAAATGATCATGTCACAATAATACTAGAACTAAACGAGGATTTATTTATTTATTTTTTTTTTTTGAAAAGAGTGATTAAAAGTGGACTACACCTATAAATCTAGAATCAAAAATAAAATTTAACTTTATATATATATATATATATATATATATATATATATATATATATATATATATATATATATATTACACTTATTATTATTATTATTATTATTATTACTATTAAAATAATTAATATTTTTATTACATATAAGTTTATAATATATTTTGTTCATTTTCAGGCAAAATGGATAAAAAAAATATATAATTTCTTAATTTTTGATCAAATAAAAAAAATTATTTTTAAAAATTTATTCAAATACTAGTATTTTTTATGCGCGATGTGCAAAAAATAGGTGTCCAATATTAGTACTTTATATTAAAATTTTAAATTTATTTACATTTTAAATATTTAAATTATTGTAAATAATAATAATAATAATAATAATAATAATAATAATAATGCAAAACATTTTTATAAATTTAATATTTATATTTTAGAAAATAACTAACATATAACTCCAATATATAATGTGTATATATTATTATTCTTATTGAAGAATATAAGAAAATATATGGTGGATGCATGTGCATGGTAACAATAGTGGATGGGAAAAGATAACAAAAGTTATAATGGTAGGAGTATGTTTGTCCAAAATATTGTAAATTATAACTTTTATAGCATAATGTATAAAAAAATTTAATTGAAAAAACGGATATAAATGAATATAATAGTATAATCTTCATTCACACTTATGTTTTTAGACTAGAAAATGAAAATATTTTAAAATGAAAAAGAGTCATTTTGCAGACAATATTTTGAGGTTCAACCAAACTATTTGCTAGCTCTATCTCTACCTACTAATGTGAAAGAACTTCAGTCCTCCTATAAATACACATGATTTCTTCGGTTATCTTCATCCTTCAACTATCAATGTTACATAGTAAAGAGTTTTTAAAAATGGGTTCAAAAGTTGTCCTCTGCCTATCTTTGGCCGTGTTTCTACTGATAGCTTCTGAGGTTATGGCGAAGGAATTGAACGAGAGTACTGCTGAAACAGCGACGAAAGCTGAGAAAGAAAATGGGGTTGCCAGAGATGACAAGAACTATGGTGGAGGAAGATATGGCCGCAGAGGACTGGGAAGTAGGGGATATGGCGACGGAGGAGATGATGGTGGCAAAAATGATGATGGAAGACGTGAAGATGGCAAAAATGATGATGGAAGACGTGAAGATGGCAAAAATGACCACAAAGGTCATGATGGTGACAAAAATGACCATGGAAGACGTAAAGATGACAAAAATGACCACAAAGGCCATGATGATGATAAAAATGACCATGGAAGACGTAAAGATGGTAAAAATGACCACAAAGGCCATGATGATGACAAAAATGACCATGGAAGACGTGACGATGGCAAAAATGACCACAAAGGCCATGATGGTGACAAAAATGACCATGAAAGACGTGACGATGGCAAAAATGACCACAAAGGCCATGATGGTGACAAAAATGACCATGGAAGACGTCAAGATTGCAAAAATGACCACAAAGGTCATGATGGTTACAAAAATGACCATGGAAGACGTGAAGATGGCAAAAATGACCACAAAGGCCGTGATGGTCACAAAGATGACCAAGGAAGATGTGAAGGTAAAAATGGCCACAGAGGCCATGATGGTGACAAAAATGACCATGAAGGACGTGAAGATGGCAAAAACGACCACAAAGGCCGTGATGGTAAAAAAGATGACCAAGGAAGATGTGAAGATGGCAAAAATGGCCACAGAGGCCATGATGGTGACAAAAATGATCATGGAAGGCGTGAAGATGACAAAAATGGCCACAATGGTCATGATGGTGATAGAAATGACTATGGAAGACGTGAAAATAACAAAAATGACCACAAAGGTCGTGATGGTGACAAACATGACCACGGAAAACAGGGAAGTCGTGACGATGGCAATGATGGTGACAAAAATGACCATGAAAGACGTGACGATGGCAAAAATGACCACAAAGGCCATGATGGTGACAAAAATGACCATGGAAGACGTCAAGATTGCAAAAATGACCACAAAGGTCATGATGGTTACAAAAATGACCATGGAAGACGTGAAGATGGCAAAAATGACCACAAAGGCCGTGATGGTCACAAAGATGACCAAGGAAGATGTGAAGGTAAAAATGGCCACAGAGGCCATGATGGTGACAAAAATGACCATGAAGGACGTGAAGATGGCAAAAACGACCACAAAGGCCGTGATGGTAAAAAAGATGACCAAGGAAGATGTGAAGATGGCAAAAATGGCCACAGAGGCCATGATGGTGACAAAAATGATCATGGAAGGCGTGAAGATGACAAAAATGGCCACAATGGTCATGATGGTGATAGAAATGACTATGGAAGACGTGAAAATAACAAAAATGACCACAAAGGTCGTGATGGTGACAAACATGACCACGGAAAACAGGGAAGTCGACATGACAATGGTGGGTATAGCAACGGTGGACGCGGCGATGGCAACTATGGGCAGGGTGGAGATTGCAAGAACGGCTGCCCATACAAGGGGGAGAGCGTGGATGCAACAAAGCCTTAAGCCTCACCACTATATACCCAATCCGTACATGAATATGAATATGATCGAATTGGCAATCTGTAATAATGCATGCAGTCATGAAGTACCACTTACACTTACTTCTCTGCAATATCTTTATCATAAATAAATGAATTGGTTGCCATACAATATAATTATATTGTTTATGATATGTTTCTTTGTTTATTGTGAAATAACAACCGTCTATTATTTTATTTTATTCCTAAATAACTTTTTTTTTTTAATTGCAAAACTTGTGCAAATAAATTACACCTCACAGGCCAAGCTCCTTGTATACAGATGGCACCCAAGTTAAACTCTCATATCGGAGGTTGTGAGAGTCTCAGTGGAGGTAATAGAGTTAGTAGCATTCAAAACAAAAATTACACACCTCAGTACCTCACACAACATACAAACCATGTGCATGGCTGCATGCAATATCACAATTCACAACATATATTTATTCAACTAAAATCACAACACTCAACACATTTTACAATCACAACATATATACATTTTACATAGTGTAATTCAACAGAAATCACAATCTCTCTCTCTCTCTCTCTCTCTCTCTCTCTCTCTCTCTCTCTCTCTCTCTCTCTATATATATATATATATATATATATATATATATATATATATATATATATATATATATATATATATATTGAAAAAGTGTCGTGAATCTTGAATTCAGTTATACATTTAATGTTCTATTTGTTTTTAGAAGAGATATTACATTATCAATTAATTAGGTTATTTAATGAACATAAATAACGAAATATAAATGCATAAAAATAAAAAACAAGTACTAAGAGATTGATCACGCAGTTCGGAG